AATTGTTAATTTTTTTTATATCAAGAATAAGATATTCTTATTTTTTTATTTGTTTAATTTTTTTATATTGAGAATTAGGTATTCTTCATTTTTTTATTCGTTTTAATAAACAGTATTTTCTTTTGCCAAGAATACATATTTTTGAAATAGTGTAGGAGTGGAGATGCCGACACGTTCCTCTGAAATTTTATGCCTAATCATGCAGTGTTTCTTTCTCTTTGTAAGGGAGAGGGCTTATTTCATTAAAAAATTGATATACCACCATTTTTTAAATTTAGCGTCGCATTTACGTGTATACACCTATAGGTAGGTAGGTTTATTGTTTAAATATTTACTAATATGCATTAAGGATGCCTTAAAATTATTTTATTCATAAATAAATAGGCTTTGCAGTGATAACCAAAATATCTTATTTGTTTAACACTTTGATTTGTATGGCTCTATAATTTTAAATTAATAAACTTAATTTATTTTATGACATTTTAAAAGATTTTGTTTTAGAAGTATTTTTGTTACACACTTTGGGGTATAACATTAATTGATTCATATAGGGTGGAGTTCATTGGCAATAGCCCTAAATTATTTTATAAAATTGGTAATTGCTTTTCTACTATGCCTAAAATATTACAAATTATTTAAAATGAAAAATAATAATGATTAAGTTCCCTACGTTAATTTATAATAGGTAATATATACATTTTAGATTTTTCTGGTAATATATTAAAAACAAAATAAATGTGTTTGTTCAACGTTTGTTTTATTATTTTCTTTAGGTTAGAACCTAAATTTTTGCTTACTGCACCACCTAGAAACGATACAACGTATACTTTGGCCCTTCAGTAAGTTTGGCTCAATTTTGAATAATCTGTAAGTATTTATGTAAATATAAAGTTTTGTTTAAGATTAGACAACAATCCTTAAAAAATTACAGGATATTTAAAATTACTCCAGTATTTTTATTTTAAATTTTATTTCTTTTGAAGTAATATTCATAAATATAAAGATGTTTTATTTATTAAAATAAAAAATTTTTAGTTAATACACGTATCATTATTTAAAATTTTATTGATTTTAAATACAAAATGATAGCTTTTTTATAACATTGCTAAACGTAGCTTAAAATTAAGATAAATAGATACATTTTATTTTTAACGATACTTCTTGCATTGTTTTAAAATAAATATTATTTTGTAATCAATGAAATAAAATTTTAAATCTTGAATCTATTAATTAAAAAAAAAATATTGGGTCATAGAAAACATCTTGATTTAAGAAAATTATTGCCTTATTTAAATATCACATGTTTTTGTTTTAAGAAAATTTATTCTTGAATTAAGTATCTTTTTTATTTAAGAATACTAATTTATTTTTAAAAGAAAATATTCTTGCTTTTAATACAATTGTATAATTTATTATAATTATTGTATAATATAATATAAGCGGCCATGATATACAACGTTATATGCATGTTACATGCAGCATGTATACATAGAGATAGTTGAAGTACGTCTTTTTCATTAGCGGCAGACAAAAAACTCAAAAAAGCCTAGGGATAGAAGTAAATCCATAGGTGACTCAATAGACGTCAAATAATAAAATTAATTTAGCATTTCATACAAAGCAATCACGATGTATTAATTATATTAATTATAATCGCACGGAATATTTAGTGATTATTTATTAAATTTTAATTGAACGAAATAAAGAACAACTAGTTTATTAGTATAATATAATGATGATAGACAAGTCGCCAATGTCGGAACTCCAAACAAATGTCAGTACGTCAAAATTAATTCAAGCGCAGCATTTTGACAGAGCAGTGTTTATTTTTAGTTTAGGATATTTATCGGCATTGTAAGTAAGGTTTATAAGTTTTTTTACTTTTTATCAATAATTTGTAATGCTTTTAGCCAAAATTTTATACCACATGAGTTATAAGTAAATAAAATAATTCTATTGCTTATCCTATTTATATTACGCCCTTGAAAAAAAAATTGTATATGTTATTTGGAGTAGAAGCTCTTTTTGTGCTTCGTACAGTTGCCTGCCTCAGCTACGCTTCGGCCGTCAATCTCTGTACTCACCACAAAAAGAGCCACTTCTACTCCTTATGACATAATCTACTATTATTTATTGATAAAACTCCTGACAACCTAACTCTTGATTTTTTCTATAGTTTCTATTTAAGATACAATTTGTATTATGTTTTACTTACATTTATCTCAATTTAATAGGATTTCCTATTTATTATTATTATTTAATTATTATATTAAATTCTTAAAGCACATAAATCATATTTCAATCTGCAGATAATCTTGTCTTTGATCCATTGTAATCTAGCGGTCCCTCTTTTACTTTTACCAGCCACCTAGCAATACCAGTATAAATACTATAGACAACTTACGTTCTGCTGTTCCGTGCACCGGTAGCTCGATTGCAGCTGCCGACGATCTTTTGTTCACGCCAGCCACCCCAATCCGAAGCATACATAGAGGAAGGTGAAATGTAAAGGGTGCAGAAGGCACGCGTCAGAGGCCCTTGCGCCTATGTTTTGGATTTGGATCTAGCTTGCTAATACTTATTACCTGTATATAGGTATCTGCTTGGTTTTCCGTGTTATTGCCCTCTTGGACCTGACGGGTGTCGTGTGTCAAATGTTTTTAGGATGGGGTGATTTTTGAAAAAGTTAAATAAGATTGTAACATTTACCAATAAACTTATAAAAAAATCATCAATTTTATGAAATAAGAGAATATATTCTAACCTATAGGTTTCAATTTTTTTTCCTTCAAACTAAATTTTTCTCTGAAAGTTAGTTATATGACATAAAGTATGAAAATAAGCTCTCATGACAGCACTGTAATGATTATATATATAAAAATTATGTAATTAAAAATATATATATATATATATATATATATATATCGGCATTGTAAGTAAATTAATTTATTTGTCTGATAATGTTACAGCATAAATACATGTAATTATATACTTAACAAAATATGGACATTGTCAAATACAAAATAAAAAAAATTGTGGAAAACTTATACAACCTAAAAATCATATTTAGGTGGGTAGGTTATACTTGTTGCTTAAAATCTCCACCACTAATCTACTACACGCATTGTGTCTGATACATGGTATCGATATACAAATATAAAGAAGCCACAGACTACTGAATTACATGTGTAGTCTAAAGACCGTGTCCCCCTTAAAGATCCCTTCGATCCCCCTAAACTACTTTTATAAGGTGCATGCTTTTCACTAAGGCCATAGCTTATTATAAAGTCCTAAAGACGACAAGTCAAGACCATACAAATCTCAAAGGAATTTTTACGATGGGGCGAGTTTCAATAGAATGCACCTTAAATTCAGTTAAATTGATTATAAGATTGTTATGTGAGGTACCTGAGATATCCACTTGATTTTGAGATTTTTTATTATAGTTGATATTCTAAGATTTCATTTGTAAGTTAAGTTAAGCTTAAGTTAACTTAAGTTAATTTTTACTATAGTATACTATATATAGTATACCTACACTGAAAGAAATTTATGTTTCATATATGGACTACCACATACATTGCTAAAACAAACATATAATATATTTACCTTAACCATTTTTATATTTAGTTTTAACATATTATGTTAAAACTAAATATAATATATGTTTGTTTTAGCAATGTATGTGGTAGTCCATATATGAACCACAAAACATTGCTAAAACAAACATATATTTCTTTCAGTGTAGTATAAATTTGAATATTATATATGTACATATAAATATATTTTGTTCCAATTATTTTCTTTACCCAAGTATACTTTTCTATTAAGTGACAATAATACAGTTTAAATTATAGGACTCTTAAAGATAACATTTTTTTTTTATCATAAAATTGAGGTATAGTACCATCTAAGTTTTTTTCGAACTTTCACAAATGTTTAATTAAAAACTGCTTAAAAATATCTATAGTTATGCGCGGCTACAATATAGGTATACCTACTATATTATTAATTTTTATTACTAAAAGGGTTAAACAAGAATGATCAATGTTTAAAAACGAATTGACTAAGGGGCTTAGCCTTAATTATATATAATAATTAAAATAAACAGTATATACTAAAATCTATTTATTATTTGTTATAATATTATAATAGATAATAAATAGATTTTACATTTCGTATTTTTCAGTTCACATATAAAATTTTACATTTTAATTTTTTTTAGTTTTACATTTTTCAATTAATATTTGACATTTTACATTATGTAAATTACATAGGATTTACCATTGTTCGGGACTCACTGTATTGGTATAGAGTCCATACTATAGACTATAACGTATACGTATAGTCTATAGACTACGTATGTTTTTATAACAAAATTATGAGTTTTGTATTTACAAAATAATATTATATTTATTATAACATATTATGTATATATATCGTATTTTTATTCTTTTGCTGACAGTATTTTTGACGAAATAAAAAGTTTTTATTATTTTAAATCTTAAATTTTGTGCGATTTTTAAACAAAATTCCAAAACATACTGCTCATTTCAGAGCAACAAAAACATCGTACAATACAAACTAATTAATGAGAAAGATCACATGCTCGATTAATTAAATCGAAGCAGCTGAAACAAATTTATTAGGGAAACCCCGATGATAATAATAACACGCTTTTTATTTGGGTAACGGGGGTGAACACTGCCCATCTGCACATCGGAATCCCCGATATACCATAATGATTTTCACTATTAATATCAAAACCGTTACACCTCCTTATTTAACAAAAAAAAAACACATCGAAAAATCCGTTAGAGGTACACAACAAGACAACGCAAAATCCGGATTTTACTTCACCTCCAATCGGCGTCGAGAACTAAAGTTGAACCAATAAGGGTCGTCGTCATCGCCCCACCAACGAGGCGGGGTTGAGTTCTGATTGGGTATTAAAACACACACACAAACCCCATACAGACAGTGCACTCTGAGATGTAAACTTGTTAAGGTTAGTCGCTTGTCGAGGTGTCACCTCGTGTGATCGACAAATGGAATTCGCAAGTTTCCCATCTCATGTGTTACACCGAATCGGTTTTGAACCGCATCTCTTTACATCGACAGCAGTTTTACAGCAACAATTACAATACATCAGATATACTGAACCCTTGGAGTTGACACAGTGTCCTTTGGACTTGAGTTTGAAAAATCAGGCTCCTATAACACCACCATGCACTCCATCCCCAGTTGCCAAGAAGCCTAGGAGTCCATCCCCGGAAATACCATCGAAAAAGAAGTCCACTAACATTCCGATAACACCACGTAAAGTAAAAGCAACTCGTAAACTCAATTTTGAAGAAGACAATTCGTCACCTGTTTCGGGAACTATCATACGTGAATTGGGCCCAAATGAAACCCTTGTGGTGCGTAAAGGGGACATAGATCCAGCTTTTAATGTTGTAGAAGTGACGGAAGAAGCTAAGGCTGAGCTAGCGAAAATAGAAAACATAATTGGTGAATACGTATGCCGGTTATGCAAAGAGTTATACGAAGACGCGTTTGGTTTGGCTCAACACCGCTGTTCCAGGATTGTACACGTGGAGTATAGATGTCCAGAGTGCGATAAAGTTTTTAACTGCCCGGCGAACCTTGCCTCTCACCGTCGTTGGCACAAACCGCGACCCATTAACAACAATAACAACACTAAGGAAAAGGATTTGGAAGATGATACGGGGGAACAGTTTCCTTGCACGGAATGCGGTAAAAAATTCAGACGTTTAGCCTATCTTCGAAAACATCAAACAATTCATCAGATCGAATGACAAAGGCTTGTTCCAGTAAGGCCTATACCAAGGATGGCGAGACTATGGAGACCACCCCCGTTACCGCCCCTCGCTGTAGGGCAACTTGTTGCCCCAGAACGGTACGTACCAAATTTGTCTTGGTTAACACATTTCTAACTTGTATATTATGTATATATGTTTAAATGTATATTTTTCAATATCTGGTCAGCAAGATTTTGTTACTTTTATTAAAAACCTTCTTGTTTTAAACAAGTTTCATAAAAATTAGTTTGTATTAGATTAAAGTCTTATAAGTGTTTAGCCTGACTATACAGTATGTTTAAGACTTTAGTTATAGTCATTTTTTTAAAAAGTGACTTATTTTGTCGACCAGTATTAAATCGATCTTTCGTATGATCTCTTATTTAAGAAAAAAACAGTCAAAATCTGGTAATTAATTATCATATAGGGTTGTGATAACGTTTTTAGTCTAATTAGGTAGGTAGATAAGTAAATTGTATTAATTATAATTATCAAAAAGAGTTAACTCTTAATTATTATACTGTCATAAATTAATTCTAAAGACAGTTACATATACCATCTAGCTTAAAATTACATTCTTAAAACAGTTACCTATATCTAGCTTAAGTTCATTCTTAAGAGATTAAAATTTTAGATAATTAAATAACCTTGTTAGTTAAAAATTCTAGTCGGAAAAAATTCTAGTCAGAAAAAAAAAATTTGTTAGAAAAATGTCTACCCTTGGTAAATTTTTAGTCAGAAACATTTCTAGTCAGAAAAAAATGTAGTCGTTAAAATTCTAGTCAGCACAAATAACAACCTATTCAACTAAAAGGTACCAAATAAAATAATAATATCTACAAAAAAGGAAAATAAAAGTACTATTTTGGATGGTTTTTCTAAAGTCTATTCAAATCCAAGCTGGACTAAACAAAAACGCCCAGACGCGTGATAACTCGTTTCTATTGGTCGATTCTGATGGTGTGACTCGCAGTGATGTAACCGATACATTTTTTTCAGTATCTAGGTACAGATACAAATACTCTTTGGCAGATGTATCTGGGTACAGATACCGATACATTTTCCCAAAAGTATCTGGGTACAGATACAGATACATTCAAAAAGTATCTAAGTTACTTCCAGATACTTTCTGTTACCTAAAAACTTAAAAATTAAATGACAAAGAAAAAAATTGTTTGGACCTTATAACGCAATAGATATTTATAAAGCAAGTTCATCTACTGGATGTCCAATGGATATCCTGGATATTTATAGAGTATATGCATTGGATGTTCCGTGTGGGGTTGCAATCGGGTTGGGTTAAATAAAATGTATCTTGTATCTAAGGATCTAGATACTTTCAAAAGGATCTAGATATTAAAGTAGATCCTGATTTTTTTAAGTATCTCGATACGTATCTAGGTACATAAAATGTATCTAGATCCAGTATCCAGATACATGTATCTCGATACGTTACATCACTGGTGACTCGGATTGTGAGCTCTTATTGGTCGATTCGGAGGATTGTGTTTACATTTAGTCCAGCTTGGATTTGAATAGACTTTAGACAAGAAAGCATTAAAATTCGTTTATTTTAATTTAAAATAATAATGACAAAATCTTGTCACATCAAATTTTTAGTCGGAATAACCTAAATTTATACTCATACTTATATTTTTGCTTACTGGAATATTAAAGATTAGATTAGATAAATTTAGGTTATTCGACTTAAAGTTACCAAATAAAATAATAATTCAAAAAAGGAAAATAAAAAGTACTAATATTTTGGATAACCCCGTAATTTTTAAAAAAATATGTTTTTCCAGTCAACTTACCAAAGATTTAAAATTCGTTTATTTTAATTTAAAATATTAATGTTTAAAATCTAGTCTTATTAATTTCTAGTTAGAAAAGAATAGTCATAAATATCTAGTCAGCACAAATACCTACATATATGATAATAAGTCTTCAAAATTCTAGTCAAATACAATATTTATTTTAGTCTATAAAAAGTACCAACAAAATAATTTAAAAAAATAAAATAAAAGTAAGTACTAAAATACAGGGTGTCCCGAACATAGTGTGCAATACTCCGAGGTTTCTAAATAGGAAGAAATCTTCTTATAAACATAGGTCGGAAAATGGACCCTAAGGGAGCTACAACCTCATATAAGGGCGCCCCTTAAGACGGTTTTTTATTATTTTCGGTTTGTGATAAAAATTTTGTATGCCTCCTTAAGTTTTTTATTTAGGAGTGTATTAAATAATGTATTTAAGAATATAAAAATTTAGAGTTTTCCACGTAAAAAAAAACTATTGTTGAACATCCATAAAATGAATGAATGAATTAAAAATAAATAACAAAATTTGTTAATTTAATTAAAAAAACCTTTTTTTTAATTTAATCAAAAATATTAATAAAAACAGTACATTTGTATCCCGAAAATACATTATTTTTTCTCAAACCCTGTATATTAATACACAACTAGTAGGTACCTTTTTTGGATTATTTTAGTTGATACTTTTAAAAGACAAAAATAATTATTATATTTGACTAGAATTAATAATATTACAATATTATATTATATTATATTATATAGAGGAAGTGAGGGTATTTTGGAATAGTAGTTTAAAAAAAAATAGCAAAAAATTTAAATTTAAATTATTTTGATTAAAATAAATAACATGTCCAAGATCTACATTTGTACTATGCCATACGAAAATTTTAAACTATTTAAAATACTTTAAAAGGATTTTTTCACTAATGAAAAAAAAAGTGTAAAAAATCTCTGTTTACGTAACATGAAGTTAATTTGGAATACCACCAATTTGGAATATTTCAAAGTAGCAGCAAATGTTTTATATTAAAAAGGTTAATAAAACATTTTAAAAAGGTAACCAAATATTAATTAAAAGAGAAAATTGGATTGATTATCAAATATTACAAAAAATGAATATAATTTGGAATATTTAAAATTTGCATTATTTATAGTATTCCAAATTAGCAATATAAAGACCTACGCCATAATATGTAAAAAAAAGTAAATGCTTTAACATATCGAAAAAGTACAATTAACAACTAAAAATATAACCCTTTACTTACCTGAGGATACAATTTAAGTTAATTTAAAAATAAAAATCGAAGCTATGATTGCCGATTTAATTACCACTAAAAAAGTTTTAGTTACCCCACAAATAATTTTTCACATGTGTTGGCCCTCTACCATAAATCAAAATATCTACAAAATCACATGTCCACAAAATACAGGCTATTCTAGTAGTTTATTTCATATTTAACGAGATGGCGCTAAGCATAGCCTCAATATTTAAGTATTCCAAATTACCAACAGTATTCCGAATTACCCCCACTTCCTCTACAGTCAAATATAATAATTATTTTAGTCTTTAAAAAGTATTTTAATATTTAAATAATGTTATTCTAGTCAACCTACTAAAGTATTAAAATTAGTTTATTTATTTTAAATTTAAAATATTGAAATCTAGTCCATATTATTATTAGTCAGAAAATTGTAGTCATAATTTTGGTCAAAAAAATATTTATTATTTAACTTATTTTTAATCTAGCTATATTTTATATCACATCCAAGTCACTAATACTATATTTAGTTATTTTTTTAGTTTTTTTCTCTAGTCAAAAAAACATTTAGGGTTTAAAAAAATCATGGCTTAAATAACCAAATTTTATCTATAAAAAGTTGTCATTATAGGTATGTAATTAGGTTTAATAAAATTGTGATATTATTTTTTAAGTTATAAAATTATATTAAAAAAACATGTGATTACTCTTTTATGGGCATTAAATTTTGGATCCAAAATTAAAAAATGTATTTGTAAGGTTAATTTGTAAGTCCTAGTGCGGGCAGGGAAGTAAGTTTGCAATAAGCTTTAAGCGGCAACTTTACCACACTTAAAAAACATAATTATTATTTCATAAAAATAAAATTGTATTAGGTTTTAAGTTACATTGAAAGTTTTTGCCAAACTTGTTGGGAAATGTGCCAGTATTAAAAAATTTAGTCATATTATTTAATAATTTATTATTTTATTTATTATAGAATGTAAATACCTATATCGATGGATTTACATATATCTATATAAAGCGAGTGTATATCTAGTCAAAGATGTAAAATACATAAATAAGCCTTATTTCATTAAATTTAGTCAGGATTTAGTTAGGATATTAATATTATTGTATATAATGCACTGTATAATATTGTAAAAAAACTGTGAGCTAATTAATAAAATTTAATTAATTTATTTATGATTTTTATTATTTATACTACCCTTACTAATTATTACCAGCGTTACCAAGAGGGGCAGTTAATTAATGTAATCTATTGACACTTCACTTATTAGCCTTGTTCGCGGAGCCCATCCATGACTAGTTCCGTATCTGTATAGGGTAAATAATCACGAACCATGGTACGCATGCGCGATTCGGAACCGATCAAGAATTAACAAATCTCCGCGAACGCGTTTCTAACCGCAACCATCAGTCAGCTGTTTGGTGACAAAACTTTTTGGGGAATCTCCTTCCTGATAATTAGGTATAGTATTCAGAATTGCTAAATCGCTTTGCTAAATCATCAACAATCTCTTTGCTAACTCGAAAATGCTCCCTAAATAGCTGATCATCGAACATGGAAACAATTTCTTCAAAATATGCAGTATTTTCAATTAAATCTAAACTATTTTCTAAATCTTCATCACTGGATGATAGATGATCACTCATCTATAAAATAAGCAAGGAAATGAAAAATGCAAGTAAAAATAAGTATTTCAACTTACGTTTTCGTTTAACAATTTAATTAAAAACAATATAGAACATATAACCTAAAATAAACTTTAAACAATAATGAACAATACGCATGTCTGACAGCTAGTACATGCTAAAATCCTCGGATCGTTTTGACTTGTCAGTAATTAGTTCGAAACTGGTCCCGAAGGCTCCGCGAACGAGTGATCAAATGTCAAATGTTGCCGATTTTTACACCGCGAACGCTAAAATTGCCAGTGCGCATGCGCAGTTGTCGCGGATTGATCACGGATGAGCTCCGCGAACAAAGCTATTATCCGATTTATAATCCCTAGCAGTTACAGCTTGGGACTAATTAACGTTTTTCTAAAATAAATCGCAGAACAAGAAAATATTTTAAATTTTTTAACCATTTTGGTTAAAACAATATTCAAATTCAATTAGTTAATCGAATTTAA